GGAGGCATGCAGGAGGCAGCCAATCGATGTTCTCTTTCATCGATGTTTCTATCTCTCCCTCTCACTTCCTTTCTCTCTAGAATCAATAAAGGAAAAACATTTTTTTAATTATATATATAATTGATATACTTGAATATTATATGTAACACGCACCCTCATCCCATTCCTGTCACTCCAGTCTTAGATATGGCTGTGGGAGTCAGGGAAAGGATACAGTGAGGATCCAGAAGGGGGGTGTAAGGAATGGGGATAGGGGACAGGAATTGGGAAAATGAAAGTGGGAGCTGGTGATGAGGGTGGGAATTGGGAATGGAAGCAGGAGTGAGTTTCAGGGATGAGTGAGGTTCATACATGGGGTGAGGTTATTTGTATTAATTACTTGATAATAAAATCTAAATGGTTTGGTTTTTAAGGTCACTAGATGTGCGTGGATACAAAAAAGGTCTCAGTTGTTGTTGTTTTTTAAAAAAAAGAAAAAGAAAAAAAAATTCATTGTAAAATGTAACACATTCCCAGTAGCAAAACCAGCCTAACACTTTAACTGGGTCCTTCTGATCCTCCTCTGTCATCCTCCTAGGCTTGGAATACTGATCTCTCTCTTTCTCTTTCTCTCTCTCTCTCTCTCTCTCTCTCTCTGTCTCTCCGCAGATGGACTGCAATAAAGCAGAGAAGTTTGATTTTGTAAGTTTCCTTGCTACTCAGCCCCTGGCTGCTTTTCTCCATGGCATGTTATCCTCTCCAGCTGCCCCAGTGCCTGGCTGTACCCCCACTTTGATAGTGCACCAGCCCATACTAGAAGCCTTATTTCCAAAGCTGTGGGGATCTGCTGGCCTCAGAGATGAAAGGCACCTGAAGTCCTTGCTGGGATAAGGACTGAGTTCACAGAGTTAGCAGGGGTCCTCACTCACATGGTCCAGCCTCCCATGCCCCTTTTTCTCTTCCAGGTGTTGCAATATCTGAACAAAATGGCTGGAAATGAATATGTGGGTTTCAGCAATGCCACGTAAGATCTTGTTCACAGGACTGGCTTAATGCTCTGTGTGTGTGTGTGTGTGTGTGTGTGTGTGTGTGTGTATGAGTGTGTGAGATGGAGGAAGGGGATGATAGAATCTTAGGAGGAAGAAATCCCAGGGGAACTTTGGCCTCCCAGCTTCCTCTGAGCCCCTTCATTGGCATTTGTGTAGTTTGCAAAATAATTTGCTCCATTTCCATTTAGTAATTAATGAGCAAGGTAGTGGGAGGGTTTCTTGCCAAACCTCTCAAAGCCAAAAACCTCACCAGTTTTCCTAGACTAGATAATTTGGAGTGTTTTGTTTTTTGCACTTTATAATAAAGGTCTGCCCAGTACTTGCCAGGGTTCAGATTGCTGTGAGAATTTATAAAGGGACTGATTTAGTTTATCATGTGTGATCTAGTTCTGTCTCTCTAGGGAAGATAGTTTTTCCCCTTCTCCTCTCCTCACACCCACCCCTCAAACATCAAATACTAAATTGGGTGTTTGCTTCAGATTCCAGTCTGAGAAGGAAACAGGGGATCGGAATTATGCCATCGGCTACTATCTAAAGGAAAAGAAGGTAACTGGGAGAGGCTGGTAGAGAAAGACCCTGGGAATTCTGTGGCTGGGGGAAGGGAGGTTGGGGTGGACCACTGCTGAGATCCTGGCAGTGTGAAAGGGACTACTGATGGCCTGAAGAGAAATGCTCTCCCCTCTTCTTCCTTGCAGTGCTTTCCTAAGGGAGTGGACATGATGTCTGCCCTCGATCTCTACTTCCAGGTAAACAAAATGTCATTCAACACAGGGCCAATGGAGTAGGACAGACTATACTCCTTGCTCTGACCCAAAGGGATGCTTCTCTCCAGAAACACCAGGGGAGCTTGCTAAAAGATCAGGATGCCAAGAATGTTGCTCTGCATCCAAGAAAACAGTGTTCAGGTCCACACCACACCCTCACTTCTGCCTTGTCTCCTAGCTGTGCTCCGTGGAAGTAACCTGTGAATCAGGCAGTGTTATGGCAGCCACCCTGGCCAATGGTGGGATCTGCCCCATCACAGGCGAGAGCGTGCTGAGCGCTGAAGCAGTGCGCAACACCCTCAGCCTCATGCACTCCTGCGGCATGTATGACTTCTCTGGCCAGTTTGCCTTCCACGTGAGTGCTTCTGGCCCTTCCATCCATTTGCCACAAGCCCATAGCCAAGAAGAGAGGACACTGAGTCTCTGAAGGTGGAGAGATGGAAGCTTTTCCTGCCTCTCATTCACTAACTTCCAGCCAGGCGCTTAGGCTAAGAATCCTTAGGGGTTTGACAAACACACCAAGTTCCTCAAACACATAAAACATGATGTTGCAGCTTCTGAACCACTCTTCTGTGGCCCTTCACATGGCTGGTGCTTCTCTAGATTTCAATTTAGATGTCACCTCCAAAGAGAGGCTTTTCTGACCACCCTATCTCAGGTGGGTGCCCCTCCCACTTCCTTCTCTATCACAGCACCCTACTTCTTTTCTTCTGTTATAAGCTGTCATTATTTTTGTCTACTTGTTTATCTGTTTACTGTCTACCTCCCACTGTCAGAATATAAATTAAATGAGATGCTTTGTCCTAGTCCTAACATGTCACAGAGTAGATACTCAAATTTAAGAAGGGTAGGGGAGAACAGGAGTTAGAAAAGCTAATTAACAAGCCAAAAGGATGAGATGGGCGTGGCCTTGCCCACACAGTCATTTGGAATAAACTATTAACCCAGATTTGGGGCACCTCAGCTCATCCTGTTTCAACTTTGTTCCTAAGGTGGGCCTGCCAGCCAAGTCAGCTGTGTCAGGAGCCATCCTCCTGGTAGTACCCAATGTCATGGGAATGATGTGTCTCTCGCCTCCACTGGACAAGCTGGGGAACAGCCATAGGGGTGTCAGTTTCTGCCAGGTGAGTTACTTTGCATATAGTACTAAATATTCTTGAATGAGAAACTAAAGCCATTTTTAGCTCCTACTAAGTACAGGAGTAAGTAATTTCTTTGGCTTGCAATTTTAGAAGTTGGTGTCTCTCTTCAATTTCCACAACTATGACAACCTGAGGCACTGTGCTCGGAAGTTAGACCCACGACGTGAAGGGGGAGAAGTTAGGGTAAGGAAAACCCCAGGTGGCTTCTAAGAATATTCAGAATAAAACATCCCGTTATACTTTAGCAATACCCTTGGCTAAGCATCCATGGAGGAGGGTCGTGGGGCAGAACTGGGCATGGGTGGGTTCAAAGTCAAAGTTAATCTCAAGTGGGTATGATCTCTTTTCCAGAACAAGACTGTGGTAAACCTGTTATTTGCTGCCTATAGTGGAGATGTCTCAGCTCTTCGAAGGTACTTCTGTGACCAAATAAACACAATAAAATACTCCTGGTCAGAGATCTCATGAGGAGTCATCATAGCAAAATAGTTAAGTGCTTCAGCTTTAGAGTCAGATAAAATGGACACACATTACACTTAATGAGATTTTTTTCAAAGCACTGTGCCTGCCATGGGATAAAACCTTAATTAATGGTAGCCACTGTTATGATTAACCCGGGAGTTAAAAGCAGAGGTGGTAGGTAAGGACTCTGCCTTAAATGGATTACAACATAAACAAATATATACTAGGTATCTTCCTCAGGCAAGCAGAGATGTTTCTGGAACCACCATACTCCCATCTCTCTGAAGTGGGAGTAACAGTCTCATCTGGGTAAAGACACATTGTGCAAGGTCTACAGATCTTGGGATAAGCTCTGGAACCTATCCAGTCTGACCCCACTTCAGAAAGGACGTGAGTGATTCTAGGCTGATATGGGTTACTCCAGCTGCTTTCCACTACCCTCAGGTTTGCCTTGTCAGCCATGGACATGGAACAGAAAGACTATGACTCCCGCACAGCCCTGCATGTTGCTGCAGCTGAAGGTATCTGAAAGTTAAATAAGAGGGGAAGTAGATCATAAGACCCTTCCTTTTCTACCAAGAGTACCCCCCACACTAGGTATGGCCTCAAAGTTACAGGGGCAGCCACTTGTTTTGTCCAGATGTTCAGTTTTCAGGCTATTATTGAATATTGCAGGGAGCAAAATGGGGAGAGGCCTATCTCCTCCCTTATTGGTTCAGAACTCCAGCTACCAAGAGTCTATACCAATGCTATCACCAAAAGATTCAGGATCTGTACTCTCATTTTCCTTTTGCCCATATTCCTAGGACATATTGAAGTTGTTAAATTCCTGATTGAGGCTTGCAAAGTGAATCCTTTTGTCAAGGACAGGTGAGTAGGATTAAGCTAAAAGGGGATGTGGGTGGGAGTAGGCAGCAGTTTCTTCACTACTGCCCTCCGGCCACCATTATGTATAGAACCAGGGCACTCTCTGTGTTCTTTGTTCCTCTCAGGTGGGGCAACATTCCCCTGGATGATGCTGTGCAGTTCAATCACCTGGAGGTGGTGAAACTGCTTCAAGATTACCAGGACTCCTACATAGCATCTGAGACTCAGGTTGAAGTAGCAGCTGAGGCTCTGTCTAAAGAGAACTTAGAGAGCATGGTGTGAGCATGGATCACGCACAGTCCTGGCTCCAGAAAAAGCACGAACTGGCCACACATTTAACCCATAACCACCAAATACATGCTACAGAGAGCTGCACTGCTTCAGTACAGACCAAAACAGACCAATGCTTTCTGTGAGAATCAAAAATACACCATTCCTTTGGCAGACAGAGTCTCGGTGGACACGTGCAGTAGAGCTATCCATGGAGACTGTGGGCTTCTTCAAGGTATAGCCAAGTTACCTGGCCCACGCAAAACCTTCCCAGGTCTTCACCCAGGTCCCCTTTTCCTCTCCCTGAAGAAATCATCATGAGAGAGAGACACTTTGGTGAAGGGGCTCTAGCTACCATGCACATGTATATATCCACAGAGCTATACACCTGGCTTTAGTTGTCTGGACAGGTCTGCCCCCCCCCACCCCCGCCTTGGCCAGGAAACAGAAATTTTATAGACAGAGAAAGTATTTTGTGCTCAAATAAACTTTAATTACACAAATGATTATTTTTGCTAAACCCAGTCCTCCTTCTCCCCTAGAGGCATTCAGTTGCATCACCATCATAAAGGTAGAATAAGATGGTACCACAGGATCAGACAGAGACATACATATTTCACATACATGCTCACCCCACCAGGTTTTCCTCAACCCCTAATACTGCTTTAGATTAAATGTATTCTGCTGCCAAGGTGGGGGTGGAGGTAAGGGCTTAGGTCTGAGCAGGTCCAAAAATGTATTGTGCAAGACCTCAGGTCTCTTCCCTCTGTAAGTTCCAACTGTAGCAGAAATGAAGGTAAAATGCAAGAATAAAGTTTTCAGCACCAATCCCCTTGATATTCCCCAAGTGTTTCTTTCCCTTTGGTAATGGTTGTAACTGGCCCAATGATTACAATGGTCTGACCAGGTGTCAGAGGTGTGCAGATTAAGGCAGGTGGACTCACGGTGAGGACAGCTGCAGCTGTGTGGGTCTGAGAGTCTAGCTTTGAGGTAAAACACTTTCTGAGGGAGCCAGAGCCCAGACTCTGTATGTACTTTAGAAAAAGGGCCAAGTCATTGACTGTACCACTCCTCCAGCCAGAGGTAGAAAGGATTTACTGTGGAGAAATTCAGTAGAACCCCAAGAACAAACAGAAGTTACACGTGGGCAAAGGGAGAGAAAGGTGTCATAGTGATGAATTCAAACAAAGCTGAAAGGTAAGACCCCAGGACTGAATACAGTCTGAGAAAGGCCTAAGCACAGGAAGATAGAAGGACGGAAGGAAACAAGTCAAGAAAAATACATTCATAGTAGCCTAGCTTTCACAAGTAGGGGAGAAGAAAATAACTAAGATATTGCACAGAGGACCTGACACTCAATTGTGGGAGCTAGAGATGGGTTGAGGTGAAGTTAAAAGGTTTCAGACGCTTTCAGGAGGAAGTTGGCCAAGAGCATGAGTAGGGACTCCAGTGATGTACATACTAGAGGCCCTCAGGCACCTCAAACCCTGCGTGGGTTAGAAGTTCTCCATCCCAAAGGGCAAAGGCAGGTACCACTGGACCCTGGAAATCTGTCTGTAGAGTGTGGACCACAGCAACCCGGCTCACATCCACCAAGCTCAGCTTCTGGGCCTCATACTCCAGCAGCAGCCCCACCTTCTCTGGCTGCCCGATGCCCTCAATAGGGGCTTTCTCGTTGGCCACCATGGTGTGCCACTTGCGCTGGGCATAGGTGAACACCCAGGAACGATCATCAACACCTATGCAGCTATCCCGAGAAATGTCCACATCTGCCACTCCTACCCGGAACTGCTGGGAGCGCTTCACTGTTACCTCCCAGTAGTGCCTGCCACTGGTGATCGCTGTGTCTGCCAGCACCACTGCCCACTCCCGGAAGCGCTCCACATTCGGGGCCAATTTGGTGGGCTCCAATCCCACCATGCCATATTTGACACCTGTGTCATGTTTGAAGAGTGCCAGGCTGCTGTGGGCGGTTTTCTCTTCCAGTTTGAAACTGATGCCTGCGGGCAGAGCAAAGAGACTGGATGATGACAGGGGCTACAACCCTAGAACTAGAGATATCTGAAGCAGGCAGTCATGAGATCGCGAGGAAGCAGGGAACTATCAGAGCGTTGAGCGAGCAAGAAAGCAGGGCGTTTTAGTATGGGGAACCCAAGGAACCGAAAGGCTTGGACTGGCAAAGCCCTGGGTGTTAAAGAAATCAGATAGTGTCCTAGGTTTGGAATCTCAACACCAATGTAGGTGGAGGAGGGGAAATGATCCAAGAAGGCTCTGGGAGTATCAGATGGAAATCGTTTTGAGGCAAAAGAGGGTAAAAGGAGATAACCCTACCTCTGCGGGCTTCTGCGGCAGCAACCCCCAATCGTTTGGCTCCCCACCGGCACAGGGGCAGCGAACGTGCAAACGGCAGCGCCATCTTGCGCTCTGGCAGAACAGGGCACGCCTCCGGGCCTAGGACCCCTCCATCGGCCCGCCGGCTCCACTCACACGTGGTGCGCGAGAGGCGGTCGCGCAGGGTGATGACGTAAGGAAGCCAGCGCCTGGCAGGGAGGTGCCATGTTAGTGAACCACCGGGGGTGGATACGATTTATTAAATTTTTCCGCCGGGAGGAGTGCTACTCACGTTTTAACTAAATAGGGAGTTTAGAGGGATGGTGTGCAAGATGGTTAAAAGTGATTGTAGAAATAAACTAATTGGATTCGAACTTGGCTCCGCTGTATGGCTTAAGACAAATCACTGAACTTGTCTGAGCTATAGTGTTCTCTTTTGTAAAACAAAAATATCTAGCCGACAGACATTAGGGAAAATTAAATGAGAGAAAGCCTAGAATACAACTTGACAAGTGGCAACCCGTTGGTAAGTGGCAGTTGTTATAATAAATATTAAATAACAAATACTGTATATGTTGGTTTTGTATTTTAATGGCTGGGAATGGAGGGTTTGATTCATTACTCGGTTTTTCTGACTTAACCAAAAACATCATTATTTTGGTGAAAAAGAACAGGTGTCAGGCAGTTGATTAAGGAGGGCCTACCTTTAACATTTTCATTTGCTTGAGATGCTATAACCCTGCTTTCTAAATTTTTCAGTCTGTGTATTTCTCAAGGCTCTGCTAGCCAGCCCATTATTAATATTACATCGCCAAGCACCTATCCCTCAAAAAAGCAAATTTAGGTCCTTAAGGGCCTAAAAACTTAACCAAAAACTCTTACCCTACTCCAGAGATCCAACCCCCGTTCCTGTGGGGATGGCGCTGGGTGAGGCCACTGTCTTCCTTGGCCTCAATTGGGTTTTTCTCTCTCTCTCTCTCTTAGTCTCTTCTCTCTTTCGTTTTGTTTTGTTTTGTTTTGTTTTGTTTTGCATTGCATTGCACAAATTCTCAACTTTATTTTTAAATGACCATTAAATTATGCTGGCCTCTTATATTCAGCTTTGCCATCTAGGAGCCTGTAAGGAGTCAAGTTGTACGTTAAGCAAATATAAGGGAACAAGAACTGAGAAAACCTAGGAGCAACTGTTGGAAAAATCCGTTCAGGACAGAACTGAGGTGCCCGGTTGTCAGTGATCACTCCCCGACTACAGCCTTAATCAGGAGAAACATCGCAAAGGGGCAGATCATCTTTGGCCAGTGCTAACCTGCGCAGCGGACCGCGGACTGCACCGCAGGCCTCCTGGGTGGCCGGCCGGGGCTGCAGCTCATGTCCAGGATCTAGGGCAGAAAGGCAGGCTGGAAAGTCTAGAGGTAGACTGGTTATCTCACCTTAAACCTTTTTCCAAACCACCTCCCAAAAGATTTCCTCAAAGGGGGAGAGGGGCTCTCTTTTTAATAGGGTGGCTTCTAAGCTAATCCAGTGTCCACACTACAGTCAGAGTGATATTTCTAAACCACAAATCTGATCATACTACTCCCTACTTAGATCGTGGTTTTTTTAACTTTTTTTTTTTTAATTCCTCACCCTAGGATACTCCTCCATTTATCATCAGATAGAATGGGAGTGAAGGAGAGGGCGAGAGACAGAAACATCCATGTGATGGAGCCACATTGATGGGTTACCTCCGGCACCACTGGACCAGGGCGGGGGACTAACCGCAACCAAGGTACCTGCCCCTCACTGGAATCAAACCTACTACTCATTGGTCCACAAGGAGATGCTCCAACCGCTGAGCCAAACCGGCCAGGGCCCTACTTAAATCTTTTATTTATTTATTTAAAAAAAAATTTTTTTTTCCTTTATTGATTTTAGAGAGAGGAAGGGAGAGGGAGAGAGAGATAGAAACATCAATGAGAGCCCTGGCTGGTTTGGCTCAGCGGTTAGAGCATCGGCCTGTGGTCCCAAGAGACCCGGGTTCGGTTCCCGCTAAGGGCATGTACCTTGGTTGCAGTTTGTCCCCGGCCCTGGTTGGTCGTGCGGGTGGCAGCCACTCGATGTGTACCTTTCACATCGATGTTTCTCTCTCTCTCTCTCTCTCTCTCTCTCTCTCTCTCTCTCCCCCTCTCACTCTACCTGAACAAAAAAATGGAAAAAATGTCCTCAGGGAGGATAAAAAAAAAAAAAGAAACGTCAGTGAGAGAGAACGTCAATTGGCCGAATCCTGCATGCCCTCCACTGGGGATTTAGCCCACAACCTGGACATGTGCCCTGACCAGGAATCGAACCGGCAACCTCTTGGTGCATGGGTTGATGCTCAACCACTGAGCCACACCAGCTGGGCCCTACTTAAATCTTTTAATGTGTCTGCATCAAATTCCCTTGCATGGTCATACGGCTTTACATAAGACTACTGCCTATGTTCACTTTTTTTCCCTCACAAAACACAGTCCCTCACCCTGGCCAGTTTGGCTCAGCAGTTAGAACATCGGACTGAGGACCAGAGAGTCCCAGGTTCAGTTCCCACTAAGGGCACATACCTTGGTTGCAGTTTGTCCCCGGCCCCGGTTGGGATCCTGTAGGAGGCAACCAGTCAATGTGGCTTTCTCACATCGATGTTTCTCTTTCTCTTCCTCCCTCTCCCTCCCACTCTGTCTGAAGATTAATGCAAAAAAAAAAAAAAAAATTGTGTCCTTGGATGAGGATAAAAAAAAAAAAACAATCCCTCTTTCAAAGGTGTACAGTCTAGTGAGGAGATAGATGAGTAGATGAGAATATTGGCAGCCACAATAGGGTGCACTAAGTGCCATGATTGAAGTGATTGCAGGATGCTCAGTAAGCAAAGGAGAAGCCTCAGGTTTCTTGCATATGAGGGAATGTTGGAGAGAGACTTCCCAGAAGCCATAGCAAAAGTGGTTAAGCAGCCCAGCCAGTGTGGTTCAGTGGTTGAGTATCAACCCATGCACCAAGAGGTTGCCGGTTCAATTCCCTGTCGGGGCACATGCCCAGGTTGTGGGCCCAATCCCCAGTGAGGGGCATACAGGAGGCGGCCAATCGATGTTTCAATCTCTCCCTCTCCCTTCCTCTCTCTAAAAATCAATAAAGAAAAATTTTTTTTTAAAAGTGGTTAAGCCCTGGCCGGTTTGGCTCAGCGATTAGAGTGTCGGCCCGTGGACCAGAGAGACCCGTGTTTAGTTCCCACTAAGGGCACATACCTTGGTTGCAGTTTGTCCCTACCCCAGTTGGGGATGTGTGGGTGGCAACCAGTCAATGTGTCTCTCTCACATCAATGTTTCTCTCTTCCTCCCTCTTTCTCTCCCGCTCTATCTAAAGATAAATGCAAAAATGTCCTCAGGTGAGGATAAAAGAAATAAAATAGAAATTAAAATGATTTTTTAAAAAGTGGTTAAGCCTGCTGAAGATCTCAGCTAGAGTCTTCCCCAATACACATACTCTTGAGTTATCTCATCTAGGCTTGTGGAGTCTCCTGTCACCTATTGGAGGACTCAAAAACTCCACCCCATACTTCTTTCCTAAGTTCCAGATCTGTATACCCAATAGCCTTTTGGACATTTCTACCTGGATTTCCCCCAATCACCTCAATCTTTTTTTTTGTAATCCTCATCTGAAGATATGCTTATTGATTTTATTTTATTTTATTATTTTTATTTTTAATCCTCACCCAAGGACATTTTTTTTTTTCATTTATCTTCAGATAGAGCAGAAGGGAGAGGGAGGAAGAGAGAGAAAGAGAAACATCGATGTGAGAGAGACACATCAACTGGTTGTCACCCGCACAACCCCAACCAGGGCTGGGGACAAACCGCAACCAAGGTACGCGCCCTTAGCAGGAATCAAACCTGGGACTCTCTGGTCCATGGGTTGTCGCTCTAATGTTGAGCCAAACCGGCTAGGGCTGCTTTTTGATTTTAGACAGAAGGGAGGGGAGAGAGAGAGAGAGAGAGAGAGAGAGAGAGAGAGAGAGAGAGAGAGAGAGAGAGAGAGAGAGGAGAAAGAACATCGATTGGTTCCTTTCTATACACGCCCCGACCGGGGATCAAACCCACAACCTAGGTATGTTAGCCCTGACAGGGAATCAAAACCGCAACATTCCTGTATGTGGGACAGTGCTCCAACCAACTGAGTCGCATAGGCCAGGGTGTCACCTCAATCTCAATATGTATGAAGCTAACTTTGTCTTTCTGCATAAACTTCCTCTTCCTAGATTTCCTGACTCCATGAACTAGGACCCATAACCAGCCAGTTTCCTAGGCCAGAAACCTGGAAGTCCATGACCTTTGTCTCCCTTTCATATATCTGATTGTCACTGAATCTCTAGTACATTATTTCTTCTCTGGAGTACTTAATTGACCTTCTAACTGGTCTCCAATTCTCCTCAGTGCTGTCAAGAGAACAATTAAAAAGGCAGCTACCTATCTCATGTTAGATTATAAATTCTTAAGAATATGGATTAAATCCTTTGTTCTCTGTGCCCCAGGGCCCAAGTATTCCCAATAGTACAGAGTAAATGTTCATTGTTTTTGTTTTTTTTAATCCTCACTCAAGGATATTTTTTCATTTGTCTTCAGATAGAGTGGGAGGGAGGGGGAGAGAGACAGAAACATCGATGTGAGAGAGACACACTGGTTGCCTCTGGCAAGACCCTGACCAGGGCTGGGAACAAACCACAACCGAGGTACATGCCCTTGGCTGGAGTCAAACCCAAGACTCTTTGGTCCACAGGCCGTTGCTCTAATGGCTGAGCCAAACTGGCCAGGGATGTTCATTGTTTTTGAATGAGTAAATGAAGGAGTAGTATAAAGGGGGAAGAGTTTTGTGACCCCATTCTTGGCATGCAGTGGCTCACTCCCTCCACCAGGGGTCAGCCTGGTCCAGCCTTCTGGCTTAATCTCTGAGAAGAGAGGTTTCTATTTCTTTTAAGCCTAAGAGCAAAGGGGTAGAGGAGGAATTTCCTTCAGAATCTTCCTGTCAGTACTTTGTGCATTTTGCTAATAATGAGAGGAAGGTTTTAGGATTATATTTCTGTAGGTTTCTATCCTGGTGGTGAAAGCTGAAGCAAATAGTTTCTTACCTGTCATCTGCATTACTTCACTTTTACAG